CATTATGTATATATGTACCTATGTACTATTTTCTATAATTACCAAAAAAATTTATTACATATCATTTGTGGCTTTGCTTGTATCGCAACTGTTGTATCATGGACATAAACCTTCTGTTCTTTCTTTTCAAGATGAATAGCGTGCCATTTACGTTTAGCTTTAAGCTAACTAGTTAATCCTGCATAAAAATTTGTGACCATTTTTATCTTTAGTTTGTCTAACGTCATTTTCAATTTTAGATGATTTGATTGTTGATCCCCGCAACTTTGAATGGATGAGGGAAGCAAATTGCCCAGTTGTAAGCTCTCAACTATTCTTTTTTTTTTGTCCAATGAAGTTAATAGTAAACTTTTTTATTACATTTATGTACGCCAACATGATATGCTTGTATGTTTTTGGTATGCTCATATATATTTAGAATCTGATGGGCTCTTCTTCTTCACGATGATAACTTCACCAAATTAAAAGATATTGAACTTTGTAGAACAAAGTTATAACTCAAACATCTTATTATTCTTTTTCCACTTCATCAAACATAAATATTCTATTTGGTCTCTTGATGTTGTCTGCCTGAATGCAGTCATTCTGGTAATGTCTGCTTTGTCTTGAACCCAAGTTTTTCTAAGTAAGGGAAGCATGCATATTTGAACTGAGTCTCTAGAACATAATCCTATATGGTTATATATAAGCCTCAGTAACTGAAGTTATCGTCAAATACAGTAGCTTTTAGTTATTTTAGAGGAAGATGGTAGTGAGACTGCCAGATTATCAGAGTTGATAAACTGGAATATCTGAAGAGCAGTAGGTAGCTGTGGAGTTGTGTCTTTTGCTTAAGTGTATACTATTCCTTAGTGTTCTCTATCTTACTTAGAGCATGGAATATCCAATTATGTGTCATATTTGTATCTAATGATCTCTATGAAGGAGCTGATTATTGGACATCTGACACAGGTTGCCGATGTTACACATGCACTACAACAACCTGCAGGCAAAAAGGTACGAAGTTATGTAATTTTACTTTCTATAGGCAAGCGTTAGTGAATATTCAAGTACGAAGTTATGTAATTTTACTTTTTATAGGCAAGCGTTAGTGAATATTCAAGTACTATATTATACAGAATCTCAATGCTGTCTTCTTTGCTATTATCTATGTTTGAATTTGATATGCGCCAGAATCCCTTGGCAAGGCAGAAACTAGCACTAGCTTGCAATCTAAACTGTACAGAATTTCCCTGAACTAGAGGAAATTTTTATTAATGGTTCTGAAGTGAAGGATAAAAAGTCTTAAAAGTATCCTTATTACTATCTACCTGCGCTAACTAACCCAAAAGACTTTCTTTCTGTAAAATTCATATAAGGCCAACTTTGTCCAAAACATTTACATCAAAAGCACATGACAACTTAAATTAACTTCCTCCCATCATCATACTTTAGTGCTTCAAGTTCAGGTTTTTTTAATGATTTATAGAATTTAGGGGGTTTTGTGCAAAACACCCAAGAGTTCTAGTGCGCAGGGACCCTTGTATTTTACTTTGCAAGTCCTTACTGTGGAAAGTGCAAATAATATGAGAAACCATAATATTTTATTCCTTTCACTTGAAAACTAGATGTCTTTGAATGCATAGTTTCATCTTTTGTTCTCTTCATTAAATAATCAGTGGGTTCAATATCAAGTTGATTGTGACCCTGCACATATTGTAGTTTAGTACGTTATTGCAAATATTGTTGAGTGGAACTGCATTCTAATGGTAGTTAACTATGTTAGACTTCAGCATAAAGCATATTCCGTTTACATTGTGCGTCATCGTTTAGCACACCACTTGATAGTCTAATAGGGAACATTGTTTTCACGAGGATAGTAACTGTCTTAAGAACTCAATGCAGATGAAAATTTCTTTTATTTTTTTCCTCCATATTTTCCCTAAATATAACCGTGAGAAACAAGGCAGAAACTGCAAATTCAAATAAATCTCTTGCATTCTTCTTTAGCTGGATGGTGGAGGTGTTGCAAGTGGAGGTCTCCGTGAATTAATACCATGTATTGCAAGGACATCAGTTGTTGTTGGGGTGGATGGCCTCTTCATGGAGGTAAGAGACAGTGATTTATCTTGTTATATTTGTGCTTATTGCTTGGCTAAGTATAAAATCTCAGAATATAAGTCCTGAGAGAAGATTGTGGACCTTAGCATAATCTATATAATCTAGAGCAACTCTGCATTCATTTTCGCCGAGACATCCTGAAACTCCAAATTGAAAGGTGAAAGTTTTGGTGATGCCTCCTATTGTCCTGATTCCTTCTATTCATGATATTTCATCTAATCATCAAGAAACTATTCATAGGTCTATCTTTCATTAATATGATCAATTACCTGTACTAACTAGTAAACTCAACTTGTTCCATATGTATATTGATAATGTTGTACCACGTAAACTAATAAAATTATTGGCATTTGCAAATAGGGAAATTATGGATAAGCTACTCAAAATAGAGTTTTTAATGCCTTATATTTTCCAATAATGTAAACAAGATCTAACAAACTTTACAGGCTACTAATTAGTGCGCTCTCTTTTCTTCAATACGCTTCAAGGTTGTGGTTGCTAGAAAAAAATTGCTTGCCAAAATTTAGTTGGTTTGGCATCTTGTCATTAAATACCGCCGTAGGGCTCATTACTTATTTATTTACTTATTATTATTATTTTATTATTATTGTTATTGTTTTTTTTTTGTGGAGAAAATAGATGAGGCATCAGGCTGACACTCCAGCCCATCTATTACTATCAAAAGCGAAAAAGCTTTTTGGCTCGCAAAAAGCCAGCACGCAGCCAGCGCGCAAGAG